GGTCGTTCTGGCTTCAAAACAGGTCATTCCAGGGTAAGAATTTGACACATAACGTTCAGATCCAGAATAGGCCGTTTCGAATTTGAACATAACATTGAGCTCCCTTCTTCGAGAGATCATACACCTGCTTAGTAGAAACTAGCCCAACCTTCTCAATTTTAGGGAAGATCAACTCCTTCCTAGCACAGTTTATACAAATGTGATTGCTAGACAACCAATTCATCCACAAGATTACATCCAACCCAATAAAGCCAAAGAAATCAAGTTCACCTTGTAATAACACTCATACACCTCAACTGGACATATTAAACATACTTTACAAGTCATCATAGGAGTAGTAGCCAAAGTAGATACCAGTAGATCAACACTCAAAGAACTAACATACAACGCCAATCTTTCTACACAAGCATCATATTAATAAATAAAAAAAAGTGTGTAAGACCCAAGTCAAACAGGTTAGAAACATTCTTACAATAGTTTTGTTTTTCCCTTTCACTAGATCTGATGATTTGGAAGCCTCACCTCTCATTAAAGAAAGCACCTAACCTACAGTAGTAGGTTTTTCTACCTTTTGTAAACCTCTAGTCTGAGTAGCCTTGTAGATACCCAATTTCGTCTGAGGGCATACAAACAAGGAAATGAACCTCTATTATGAAAGGAAGGAGCTCCCAAAGCATGCAAACAACAGGACAGGACATTATAAGGCCTAAAGCCCAAATAAATTGGTTTTAGTGGCCCGGAATAGGCTATTCCAAAATCAGAACGGGCTGTTCCAAGCCACAAAAAAGGCCTAAAAACCTAGTCTGGAACGGGCCATTCCAAAACCAAAATGGGTCGTTCCAAACCAGGCAAAAGGCCTAAAAATCTTAGGCTAGAACGGCCCGTTCCTAAACCAGAACGGGCCATTCCAAACCGCTAAATAGCCTAAAAAACCTAGTTTGGAACGGGTCGTTCTAGCAATGCATTTTTGTGATAATCTCAACCCTAGAACGGGTCGTTCTGGCTTCAAAACAGGTCATTCCAGGGTAAGAATTTGACACATAACGTTCAGATCCAGAATAGGCCGTTTCGAATTTGGAACGAGCCGTTCTGGCACGCTTCTGATGCCTATAAATAGACAGCTTGGGCACAGTTCTCAGGGGCTCAAAATTTCGTCCAAGACTCCTTAGAGCTCGAAATTTCTCTCTCTCCCTCCTATTGTATTTCTTGAGATTTGTGAGACATTTGTGTAGTGTGAAAGGTTGCCGCAAAGCACCTAAAATCTTCATAGTTGAAGATCTAATAAAGCTTGCTACGAGGTATTACTCATCAATCTCTTGTTTTATCTTTCTCTTCTTTTATTTCATATATTGCTATAATAAATGCAATCATGTAGATATTTTAGGGTTTATCATGTAATTTAATTTTCATGTAAATAATCATAATAAAGGGGATTAAATATTTAAACTATTAATTCTTATTACGTTATCTTCATCATAGGGTACCGATTTAAGGCGTTGTAAGGGTGCTTAATACCTTCTCTACACGTAACCGACCTCCGAACCCAATTTTGGTTATTAAGGCCATTATTGGACTTTTAAAAACCTTTTCTTTTTCCAATATTTTGAGTAAAACATTGGTGGCGACTCCATGAACCTATTTTCAAAACCATTAATTAAGGATTAGTCTGGTGTTCAGGCATTCCTTAATTGATGAGATTTTCAAAAGGATGTCTAAACCATAGGTCGCAAGATCGAAAATTTTCGGGTTGCGACAGGCCCTTGCTACTTATCACCTTTTAGGTATCAAAATAGAAAATCATGCATGTGTCAATTCGAAACAACTTTCTCTGAGATTTTGTGTGCTTCGAGGGATATACTAGTCTTTTTCTAACGCAAGGCATGTCTCTTTCTTCCTTAGTGAAACTTGAGTATCGAATAAGCTTTTTCCTTTCGATCTGTTAAGGAATCATATGTACAAAAATGATTTTGTTATTAGACATCATAAATGATATAAATACAAAACATATGTCTTATAGATAAAGTGTTTCGTTTGTGAGACTTAATGTCATAATAATTGATCGTCTTATAGCTATTCATTTTAAAGCTTAATCTAAAAAAATTCTCTAGGAAAATGTATATGTTTGTTATCATTAAATCTTAAAAGTCTGAGGGATCAAATAAGAGTTAATCACCTATACACTGCTAGTGTAAAGTTTTTTTACATCGACAACCAATTAGATCTTTTAATTGTGCCATGTCACTATAAACACATTTACATTTAATAGTGACATGGCACAATTAAAAGATCTAATTGATTGTCAGTGTAAAAAAAATTTACACTGGCAGTGTATAGGTGATTAACTCATCAAATAATGTCTTTTAACTTAACATAGTCCTTAACTGAACTTGCTACACCTTCAAGCCTCAAAAGTGGCATGGAAATGAAATGAGCCAAGTGCTCAAACCTCACAACATAGTCTTGAACCACCATGTTCACTTGATATAATCTTAAGATCCTTAGCAAACTTTGCATTATTAGAAAATACTTTTCAAGGAATATCCTCTTAAAGTTTTCCTAGTTTACAACTTCTCCCTTGGCTTCCATCATCTGTTGAGTACCCCTCCTCCAATATTCAACCTTACCCACCAACATATATACCTCATAGGTTAACTTCTTCTCCTTTGGACATTCCATCATTGTGAAAATCTTTTCAATCTCACTGATCCATTGGTTAACTACCTTTGGATTAGTCTCTCCTCTAATATAAGGTGGATTCTCCTTTTTGAAGTTAATAATTCCCTATACCTTTGAGGAGCAAATGGTCTAACTATCTTAGTTGAAGCGCTATTGGCCTCCATCTAAGCCAAAGCAATATTTTGCTGATGCATAACAACAACCATCATCTCCATAGCTTGAGTCATGTAATTAACGTCAAAGGGAAAAGGGAGATGATATCTAGAAGGTCTACCTACGATCCTATACTAAGATCAATAACAATAATAAGACAACATTCAACAACAGCCAACACATAACAACTACAACACTTATCAACTAAACAACAGAAACATAATGGTATCACCCCTAGAGTGACCCAAAGAACTTGATTAACTTTGATACAATGAAAGTGTAACGACCTAGTAGGTCACTACACTTGATACAACTCAAAATCTATAGTGGAAAACATATATATCAACTTGCCTAGAGTTTTAATACAAATAGTTCCTAGTTATTCAAGTAATATATATGTGTATAGAGTGTAGAAAACATAAAATTGTCTTGTCAATATCAATTGAAAACATAAATCTCTAAGTTTTAGTGTTGTATCATAAAAACTTGATCACAAAATACCATCCTTTACAAGCTCGTCATCCACCTAACCTTGACCTACTCATATATCAACTATAATCATCACAATCCAACACATGAAAGCAAAGGTAAACTTGTGTAACAAGAAATCAACATATATATAGAAGCAATAACAATAACAATCTATATCAACTTTATAACATCTCAATAACATAAGCATACAACTTGATCAACACATAAACACATCTCAACATCACAGAAGACAACATCTCTATACGTCATCATACATCTCAACTAAGGAGTTTCTACAACATAGATAAACAATTTAAGTAAGTTAACCTTACTAAACCAACAAGACAACAATACCTTTTTTTATAAGTTAAAACAACTGAAATTTGGTTCTTCTAATTAAGTTAAAACACTTCTTACTAATTGACCCATGTGCTTGTGGCCAGACAAAAAAACATCTAAATTACACTTTCATCTCATTAATATGCACTAACATAGTATCGTTGTTGATAAATTGAATTTTAGTATGAACTATGTTATAGTATACTTATATTATAGAAAATGGATAAAGTGATCGTACTTAAAATGGTTTTGTACATACATTAACAATATCATATATAAACTATTTTATGAATAACCGTTTTCTCTATTTGAAAAAATAGCTATATAAAATTAAAAAAAGTTTAAATCTTAAAAGTTATTAAATATTAAAAAAATTGAAATTTCATAAGGTTAAAATTGTAGTTAAAAATAAAATAAAATAGAGAGATTAAGATGTTATTAATATATAAAAAAAAACTCAACATGGGTTTAGCTATAAATAAAATAAAATAAGAGAGACAATGAATGAGGATATGTTTTTAGCAATTCAAAAACACATCAAATGTGGTCCACATGTATTTGGCTCATGTCGGTAGATTTGACCTGTAAATGGATGGTAATTATTATTATATTTAACACATACACACCTTGAGCAACCTCATATTGTAAGTCTCATATCCCTTTCTTTGTCTTATTTCCTACCCCAATCAAAGAGGGAAATCTGTCATTATCTTCTATTGAAGCTTTTGAGTCATCAAAGTCCACTTACGTATTGCGTTTTCCAATTCTTATCTTCACGACTTCGCGTTATCTCCTTATAATTATGACCATTATTTTTACCCTTCCTCTTTCCATTGTTTAGGCCAAGGAAAGGCGAGTGATCATTCCAATAATATGATAAAATATGAAATTATTTTAAGTTTTACAAAATAATTATAAATGTAATTTTTAAATAAGCTTTTTTAAAATTTTATTATCAGTTCATTTAAATTTAATATATATCTTATTATTGACTGAAATAATTTTACCAAATTTAATTCTACTTCTCTCGATATCTATATATACAAATATAAAATATTAAACTAGGTTTATATATAATAGTTATAGTAATTAGTGAGTTAAAGAAGTTGGTATTGCATGGGACCAGGGAATCAGGTTGGCACTTCAGAAAACAGAATAGAAAACAAAGTTAACAGAAGCGTGTCTTCAATTGGAGTTGACACATGATTTATAGCAGAAGCCAGCGGGAACGCCCACCGTCCCATTTTCATCGTAAGGCATCTTCATATATAGAATCCACTTTTGATATCGTGGCACAACCTTTAAGAAATAGCGTTCGAAGCTTCATTTCATTTCCTCCCTTTACAATCCTATAACTTAACACCAAAATCATGAAGTAATATCCACGTAAATATTATACTACAAAATCATGGTTTAATATCGAATTTTAATTTTACTTTAAAAGTTTTGAAAAATGTACTCTTTTATGATTTATACTAACATAACACGTTTAGGACTCCAATACAACCCCTATTGTGATTTATGAACATAATAATTCACCATTTTTTACACTAATTAAATATATCCAAGATTTATCTTGGATTTATTTATGTTGATTATAACATAAAATATAAAGTAGAATTATCTTAAAAAGGTAATAGGTGTCCATAATCTACTTAAATAGATCCAAAATAATTTATAGTTTTAATTAATTAGAACGCTACTTACAATTATTTCTAAACTTTTAATTTATGATTATGCATTACAAAAAAAATGTGATTTATGGAGGTTATTTTAGTTGTTTTTGGCTGTTAAAAACTATCACAAATTGCATTACTAATAGCTTTGTGGCGATTTATAACCGCCACAAAATGCATTTTAAAATGCTACAAAATTCATCTAAGTTTTCCTTAAATTAATATTTCAGGGTGAAAGAGGATGACATACCGAAGACTGCTTTCAAGACTAGGTATGGTCACTACGAGTATGTTGTGATGCCGTTTGGTGTGACCAACGCCCCGACATTGTTCATGGATTATATGAACAGGATCTTCCGACCCTTCTTGGATAAATTTGTTGTGGTGTTCATTGATGACATCTTGATTTATTCAAGGACCCCGGAGGATGATGGAGATCACTTGCGGTTGGTGTTGGAGATTTTGAAGGTGAAGCAACTGTATGCTAAGCTTTCAAAATGTGAGTTCTGGTTGGATGAGGTGAAGTTCTTGGAATATGTGATCTCAGCTGAGGGGATTGTTGTTGATCCGGCCAAGGTGGAGCCAGTGTTGCAGTGGGAGCGTCCAAGAATTGTCACTAACATTCGGAGTTTTGTGGGTTTGGCGGGTTACTATAGGAGGTTCATCGAGGGATTCTCCAAGATAGTAGCACCTCTAACCCAACTAATAAGGAAGGAGCAACCATTCATTTGGACTGATGCTTGTGAGCAGAGTTCTGATGAGCTGAAGCAGAGGTTGATTACTTCTCTTGTGCTGGTGTTGTCGGATTCTGGTGAGTCCTTTGATGTGTATTGTGATGCTTCTCACCAGGGTCTGGGGTGTGTGCTGATGCAGAACAGGAAAGTGGTGGCATATGCTTCAAGGCAACTGAAGAATCATGAGAGGAATTATCCCACTCATGACTTGGAGTTAGCAGCAGTTGTGTTTGCCTTGAAGATATGGAGACATTACCTTTATGGTTGTTGAGATTTCCGTTGAAGTACTTTTGTTATAATTGTAAATCAGTTTGATTCAATCAACGGTCTCAAACACGGCAAGTATACCGGTCGTTCAAGTAGTAAAAATATCGTATCCACAAGGATTAGAAGGTAAAATAAGCATTTATTGACTATTCGTGACTAAAGAATGATTCCAATTCATAGTTTGTCATGTGAACTCAAGGTTATGACTATTGGAATGTTAAAACTATAAAAATAATTGATTTAGAATGGAAAAGGTAAGAAATGGTATTGTGGTATTGTGAGGTTGTGGGGGTTAGATTTCACCGAACGTTACACTACTGAATCCTTAATCTCTTGTTACATACATTGCTTAGTCAACCCATAAGTTTACTCAAACCTAATCCCTTAGAGAAAGAGCCTAGGTGCAGATATTGAATATCAATCCCTTGAGTACCCAATACCTACACCCGCATTACGGGCTAGGGTTTAAGACTACTAATGGGTCAAGTTCTATCCCTAGATACAATCTCCACTAGGCATATGTTCCATAACTAGTTTCAATGGTATTTTCCAATACTCAATGAAACCTTAAATCATGCAAAGGGTGATCAATCCAAAACAAGCATTAAGCATAGGAACGTACACAACAAAGAATGAAACAACATGCATATATATCATTAAAAACTGGTTAAAATGGATTAGATTAGAGACCTTTCATACTAAACTGGCGGAGACCTCTTCCACTCTTATCACCTCCAACAGCACGTTGGCCCCTCTTTTTCTTCTTGCTACTGTTTAAAAACTCATAATGAACAACAATCAACTGTTTTTATATGTATACAGGAATTGTGAAACCAGAAGCAGATAATTGACACTAGCAAGTAATAGATAGAATTTCATGCCCAAAAAAGTATTTAACTTAACAGGAAGATTTTAGTAGATAATTTTAAAAAAGAAAGAAGAAACAATAAAGTATTAATATTTCTTACTGCCAATAAGAACTAAGTTAAGCATAAATAGACTCTCCTATTAAACAAAAATAGACTCACTTGTCCTCTATATAACTATAAACAAGCCTCAGAAGAGTCCACTTATACTCAAGAGTATAAGACAAAAGAAAAACCTCCCTTATCTGGAGACAAAAGCAAAGACAAATTTAAGAAACTCTTAAAGCCCCAATAATAAACACTACACCACTGTATGCAGAAATTCAAAGAACCTTCTATTGATTTTTAGCCAAATATTCTAAATTCTATCAACAATACAAATTCTATACCAATTTTGGGTCAATGTATGGCATGTCATATTTGGCAAATGACTGACAAGAAAACATAAAAATGACCATCTGACCATGAGTACCAAAAAACTGCAGACTGATACCACATGCATCAAGAATTAAGAACTTCATACAACAAAACATTTCCAGATTTCCTCGCTTTTTTGTATTACAAAGACTACTGAAAAAGCCTTGAGCTTAACAAGAGCTTGTTCTTTCAAAATGCAATTGTAGAGGAAGGCAATTTTTAAATGGGTTCACAGATACAACTGAAACAACAAAAATTACATGAGAATGCTTTTATTCTCTCAGAACATCTCTAAAAGGTCTAATTCTTCCATCATGAGGGTTCTCTAGAAAAATGAGTATGTTTTAACTATTTTCCTTTTCTAATTTGACCTTTATAAAAGCTTATCTTAGTAAACATTTAAATTGTTTGTTAAAAAAGATCCAAATCAATGTTGATTTGAAATGGTATATTCATGGGAAAATGTTGAACTCAAACCCCACAAACTTCAAAAGAAAACTTACAAGTCATATAACATCTGCATCACAGCAAATCTCATAATTATACAATTATCACAGGCTCAAAGGATAATAGAGAACTCACGCAACTGCGCCCTGTGATCCAGCATCATCACCGTGTATATCAAGATGGTTTAACCTAAGGAAAGTGTTATCACTAGCTGGTGTTGCCATTGTCTGCTCACTGCGGCTGGATGGTGAGCCAACACTTCTGCTAGTTGACATTGATTGACCAGAGATCGTGGTTCCACGGCCCGGCAGCTCCTCCTCCTCCTCCTCCCGAAATGTTTGTTGGGGTTGTGTTCCCATGTTGGTAAGTCACTTATTACCTCAAGGCCTGGTAATAAATCCTACTGGTCGAAACTGAATTCAATGGAACAAAAGTTTTGAAGTAAAGCTGAACTGCTCAGTAATATCTGTGAATAAATCAATAGTCCTTCCAGTATCAGCTTCAGAAATCAGCTTGAGATTATATGTAAGAATAACAGGCGTAAAAGATTCAAGGGGTTATTGCCCTTTCTTGTCCAAAGGAGACTATTTTTAACATCCATACATAATCATCATTTTTCATATTTCACATTAATATATAACATAACTATATCTATCTCATATAAAACATTTTAATCATTACAATTATATAGCATGATTAATTATTCAATTAAAAAATATAATTGTAGAGAACGAGAGTTCATATGATGGATAATCATATAAACAACAAACAATTATGGGGAAAGGGAAGGATGCAAGAGGCTACATTCACCAGGAAGCACAAGACCCAATATTTCTAAGGAGTGACTAGTGCATTTGTTGGGCTCATTTTCATTTTGATTTAGAAGTCATCATCTTTAAACTAAAAGCAAATAAGTATTCAAACTTATCTTGTTCTATTAAAACATATTATTATTGTTATTAGAAAAAGGGAAAAAAACAGTGGAATGTTACATACACGAAGGCGCGACAAAGAAATATAGAAAGTAAAATAGCATCATAATCATAATAAGTACAGTAAGTGTTGTATGAATAATAAAACTGAAACAATTTCGGGTAAATTGACAAGACCTAATTAGTCAATCCAGCAACGGATTCAAACCTGTGCAAATAACATAAGTCCTAAGTCTTATCTAACCTCAAGTTCGTTGAATTGTTATACTCACAATATCCGAGGTATTTTGTCCTTAAAAGACGGTAGTTTAAGAAATAAAAATGTTCATTCAATTCTCAATGTTTTAAAGCATTATAGGAGAAGGAAATGAATATGAGAAATTCATGAAAGCATAATTGACAAAAGGAGGAAAACAAAATTGAGAAATTAGGCGTCCCTAGATGTTAGTTATCAACACGTTGCAGAAATTAAGGGTACGAATACTCACCAACGACGTTGAGATATCGACCTGAGAAACAGAGAAGACCTAAAATGTTGAAGATGAAGAGAGGAACCACTGGACCAAGTGCTTGCGTGAAATAGAGGATACGACCACGCTCTAGGTTTTAATATGCCACAAAAATCGGGCCAAACCGAACCAGATATATTTTTAATAACTATATTGATTTTTATTTTTACATGAATTATTTTATCTTTTATTTATTTTTTAATAATTATCTTTTTTTATGAGTAATTTTTCATTTTTTTTATATTTATTATTTTTTTAATATAATATAAACGTGGATTGCTTTTTTTTTTTTCTGCTAGTAATCTATACCTATTATAAAGGGGATACAAAAATATGAAACTGCTTTTGGTCTCTACTTTTATTGGACTATTATACCCCTCAATATAAAAAAATAAAAAAAACTTATATTTTCTTTGAATAATTACAAACAACTTTTTAATATTATGTTGTATATAATTATTAGAGGCACGAAGTGTCTCAACCCCTCTAGTTATACATAATGTAGATACAGAATACTTTTTTCTTGCTAGTAATAATAAAAATAATAATAATTAAATAAAACATGAGTTTTTTTTTTTTTTTTGTAAATAACGTATTATAAACCCGAGCGAAAGAGACGTAAGATACGTTTTCTGATTCTCACTGCTTGCCCTAACAGAAGAGGTGTTGCCGACGCCGAGAGCGAATTTTCGTCGCCAGTGAGACTTTATAGCTAATTTACAGTTTGTTTGTTTTAAATTAATTTTTATTCTTTAATCGAGGAATGAATGCTCTAACGAAATCCTTCACGTATTTCTGGACAGTTGCGGTTATCAAAATAGTTATCGACCTTCACTTCAACCAACAACAAAAGTTGTCGGGAGTTTTATTTTTTTGCTACTGATGTAATCTGTAAGTACTCGTAAACTTTGAGGTCAGAATTATTTTTTTCACACCCGAAAAATTTCAGGATAACTGTTGTTTTTTTTTTGTTTATATAATATGATCTAAATTTTATCTATATTTAATTATTTATATAATCTCTGCTTCGGCAATCTAATTGACCAAAAGTTTTGTTTTTTAAATGGACAGTCTCATTTTATACAAGTACATCATTCCTACCCAATTTCTATCCTTTGTGTGCCGTCAAGTATAGTGTTTGTGGCCACTGTGAGGGCAAGTGTAAAGGAGTCATTCTTTGGGTAAGCACAGTTGGTAACTTCTATTTTCTGGGTTGTATCAATAACTGGGTCTCCATTTATCATGTTTAATGATGGTTGATTCCCTCTGTGGTGAATAATTGTATGGCTTTTGAGGATAAATGGATATGCACACTTGCCTACTACCTATTTGATGAAAAGCCCCAACTTTTGGGAATAAAATTATGTGTGATATAGATCGACAGTTGAATCTTTTTTTATTGTGTAGCACTTTATTCTGTTATTAATGAACGAAAGATTGGCGTTGTATGTTAGTTCTTTGAGTGTTGATCTACTGGTATCTACTTTGGCTACTACTCCTATGATGACTTGTAAAGTATGTTTAATATGTCCAGTTGAGGTGTATGAGTGTTATTACAAGGTGAACTTGATTTCTTTGGCTTTATTGGGTTGGATGTAATCTTGTGGATGAATTGGTTGTCTAGCAATCACATTTGTATAAACTGTGCTAGGAAGGAGTTGATCTTCCCTAAAATTGAGAAGGTTGGGCTAGTTTCTACTAAGCAGGTGTATGATCTCTCGAAGAAGGGGCTTCTGATGCCTATAAATAGACAGCTTGGGCACAGTTCTCAGGGGCTCAAAATTTCGTCCAAGACTCCTTAGAGCTCGAAATTTCTCTCTCTCCCTCCTATTGTATTTCTTGAGATTTGTGAGACATTTGTGTAGTGTGAAAGGTTGCCGCAAAGCACCTAAAATCTTCATAGTTGAAGATCTAATAAAGCTTGCTACGAGGTATTACTCATCAATCTCTTGTTTTATCTTTCTCTTCTTTTATTTCATATATTGCTATAATAAATGCAATCATGTAGATATTTTAGGGTTTATCATGTAATTTAATTTTCATGTAAATAATCATAATAAAGGGGATTAAATATTTAAACTATTAATTCTTATTACGTTATCTTCATCATAGGGTACCGATTTAAGGCGTTGTAAGGGTGCTTAATACCTTCTCTACACGTAACCGACCTCCGAACCCAATTTTGGTTATTAAGGCCATTATTGGACTTTTAAAAACCTTTTCTTTTTCCAATATTTTGAGTAAAACATTGGTGGCGACTCCATGAACCTATTTTCAAAACCATTAATTAAGGATTAGTCTGGTGTTCAGGCATTCCTTAATTGATGAGATTTTCAAAAGGATGTCTAAACCATAGGTCGCAAGATCGAAAATTTTCGGGTTGCGACAGGCCCTTGCTACTTATCACCTTTTAGGTATCAAAATAGAAAATCATGCATGTGTCAATTCGAAACAACTTTCTCTGAGATTTTGTGTGCTTCGAGGGATATACTAGTCTTTTTCTAACGCAAGGCATGTCTCTTTCTTCCTTAGTGAAACTTGAGTATCGAATAAGCTTTTTCCTTTCGATCTGTTAAGGAATCATTCCCTACTGAAAATCATTTTTTTCCTTCCTACAACTGATCTGCTTGACTAAGTTGGAGGTTCAAACTCCCAAGGTAGGAATCTCAAAGTCGAAGATGTATGGGATCACATCCTTCTTCCTCATGTCTTCTCGGTTGATCGATTGGAGGCAAGGGAAGTTTGTGGATTAAATTTGTTGATTTGTGATTGTTGAAAAATGCTTATAATCTACTATTTTGATGTCTGAGTCGATTGAGTTATGGGTTGATGGAAATGCTTGAAAAGTTGTCCTTGATGGTGTCTTATGAGAAAAAGGGAGAGTTTGGTGTTTGATGATTGCATGTTGTCTATTGAGTTGATTTCAAACTATTTATGATGCCTAAATTAATGTTGAAAAGAGAAAACAACATAACATTGAGCTCCCTTCTTCGAGAGATCATACACCTGCTTAGTAGAAACTAGCCCAACCTTCTCAATTTTAGGGAAGATCAACTCCTTCCTAGCACAGTTTATACAAATGTGATTGCTAGACAACCAATTCATCCACAAGATTACATCCAACCCAATAAAGCCAAAGAAATCAAGTTCACCTTGTAATAACACTCATACACCTCAACTGGACATATTAAACATACTTTACAAGTCATCATAGGAGTAGTAGCCAAAGTAGATACCAGTAGATCAACACTCAAAGAACTAACATACAACGCCAATCTTTCTACACAAGCATCATATTAATAAATAAAAAAAAGTGTGTAAGACCCAAGTCAAACAGGTTAGAAACATTCTTACAATAGTTTTGTTTTTCCCTTTCACTAGATCTGATGATTTGGAAGCCTCACCTCTCATTAAAGAAAGCACCTAACCTACAGTAGTAGGTTTTTCTACCTTTTGTAAACCTCTAGTCTGAGTAGCCTTGTAGATACCCAATTTCGTCTGAGGGCATACAAACAAGGAAATGAACCTTGGGTGATAAAGTCATCAAGGGATTCCAGCCCAGAAAAAATGTCTGCAGCCTGTATGCACAAAATTTATCAATGTTTAGCAAATTAATAATAAAAAAAGTAAATAAATTAATGAAAATAGAAAAAAGCCAATATTAATTTTTCCTTTACCGCTCCTGATGATTTGCCATAGCTAGAACGCCAATCTCTAGTTCCATTATGAACTGCATCCTCTGAAAAGCATAGCATTTAGGGAATCCAGTTGGGATGGAATTGCAGATTCCAAGCTCTTGTTGTCTTCAGAGAATGGAATGCTTGAGCTCATATAATCAAACTTATTGGATAAATCAGTTGTTTAAAGAATCTCTGAGGCCGGTAAAGGTAAACTAGTTGATTGGTTTAGTCCACCACTTCCATCACCACTAGACTGAAAAGATTGAAAGTCATTCTTGCAAGAAGTAGGCAACTCAACAGATTTTTCTGTCATAACATTAGATGAAGCAGAAGCAATTGCTGGCGTATTGCATGCTCTAGGTCGTGGCTTAATCTTGGGCTGAAATTTATGAGCTACAATAAGAAAAAATACAGGTAACTCATCTTTTCAGTGATGTGAAGAATATTTAGAAAATCATCAATATCACTAACCATTCCTAGCGCCAGGATCAGGGAGGATGTTGCTAAAAGGATCCAATTCAAATTCGGCAGCTTTATTATCCGAAACACTTTTGAAGCCCAAATCCGTACTAACTCGCAATGAATTATCAATAAGCTCCAAACCTTTGTTGCTGTCAAAAAACGAACCTTCCCCATTTTTAGGGGGTTCTTTCATCCTATCTAGGGCATTATCAGGGTGAACTGGTTGTGCGGTGCCTAAACCACATGATAGATAGGAAATGAATCAGACAAAAGTTAACTCAAGTGACGACTCACACATTGTGACAGCTACAAGTCAGAGATGAAGAAAAATGGCTTCACAAAGACAAGTAATGTGTACAAATAACTTACCATTATTGACATTGGTCTCAGGATCGAAGTTAGTTACTGAGCCCACCTCAAAATCTACTGGTTCTGCCTAAATTGATAAACAAATTAAGGTAAAAAGAGGTTACTACATAACAATGATTCAATATAACCATCAATAAAAAATGACATGTACCCCATAAGCTGATTTTAAAAAGCTTGTAGAATTCTGATCAGCATCAACTTCAGACACAGTGGTTGCAGAATCATCCACTGTGACTGCACTATCTCCTTTCACACCAACTTGTTTAGCATTTCCCGTTTCATGATAATTTGGAATTTCTACCTGTGTATGATGAATGGATCCCATAGATTCTTCTGCTAGCATACTTACAATTGAAGCAACTGCATTTTGACATTCATTCCCAGAAAATCCATCTTTCGATAAAGTTGCGTGTTCTGATGTCGGTATTTCCTTTCGAGGCAGTTGTTTCAATTTGGCCTTTGGAACAAACTTGGCACCTGGCCGAGCTACAGAAGAATACAATAAAACCACCTGACATAAGTATGATTAAATTCTTAAGGGAAAAAAAAAGCTTTCCCAACATCATTGGAGTGAAGCACTAACATTGTGCAGCAGGAGCCACTGGTAGAACATCATCAAAAGGATCCATGAGGCAATAATCAAGTCTATTACAGTAGTCTCCCTCGTAAGCAACAAACCCAAAGATGGAACCAAATAACAACTGTCCTGTAAGCAGAAGATGAAGCATATTCACCATACATAATTCAGTATCAATATGCAATCTTGAATTTAGATTATGATACCAATTTTCCACTTATAGCAGAGGTGTTTTATGCTTGGAAACAGTTTTCTATTATCATTAGTAATTCAATTAGTGCTTATAAAAAAATTAATCATCTAAACAGCAATAATTAAATTACACAAGAATAAACCTTGTGTTGTCAACAATATATACGTTCAAAGTTTATATCAATGTAAATTGCGCGTCAATTGCATGGCACCAAAAGTCTTCGATGAAATTTGGGAGCTATCTATAATCTATAACATAACAAGTTTGCAAGATAGAAACATTCAAAAGCTACAACATTGTCCCTACAGAGGAGACAAAAAAGAGAAAAACAAGTGTTATATATTATATCTATGAGTGCGTTCGCAACCGGTGCTCGTGGGAAGATCATGATCAAGGTTATCAATAAGGTTATACAGCGGATGGCGGCAAGAACCTTTAAGTGCCATATTGCCATGGCGGGTGCCATGACGGTCTATGGCGGACAAAAAAAAAATATATATATATATATATATATAGATATATATATATATACCATTTTGGTTTTGGAATGGCCCGTTCCAGACTAGGTTTTTAGGCCTTTTTTGTGGCTTGGAACAGCCCGTTCTGATTTTGGAATAGCCTATTCCGGGCCACTAAAACCAATTTATTTGGGCTTTAGGCCTTATAATGTCCTGTCCTGTTGTTTGCATGCTTTGGGAGCTCCTTCCTTTCATAATAGAGGTTCATTTCCTTGTTTGTATGCCCTCAGACGAAATTGGGTATCTACAAGGCTACTCAGACTAGAGGTTTACAAAAGGTAGAAAAACCTACTACTGTAGGTTAGGTGCTTTCTTTAATGAGAGGTGAGGCTTCCAAATCATCAGATCTAGTGAAAGGGAAAAACAAAACTATTGTAAGAATGTTTCTAACCTGTTTGACTTGGGTCTTACACACTTTTTTTTATTTATTAATATGATGCTTGTGTAGAAAGATTGGCGTTGTATGTTAGTTCTTTGAGTGTTGATCTACTGGTATCTACTTTGGCTACTACTCCTATGATGACTTGTAAAGTATGTTTAATATGTCCAGTTGAGGTGTATGAGTGTTATTACAAGGTGAACTTGATTTCTTTGGCTTTATTGGGTTGGATGTAATCTTGTGGATGAATTGGTTGTCTAGCAATCACATTTGTATAAACTGTGCTAGGAAGGAGTTGATCTTCCCTAAAATTGAGAAGGTTGGGCTAGTTTCTACTAAGCAGGTGTATGATCTCTCGAAGAAGGGAGCTCAATGTTATGTTGTTTTCTCTTTTCAACATTAATTTAGGCATCATAAATAGTTTGAAATCAACTCAATAGACAACATGCAATCATCAAACACCAAACTCTCCCTTTTTCTCATAAGACACCATCAAGGACAACTTTTCAAGCATTTCCATCAACCCATAACTCAATCGACTCAGACATCAAAATAGTAGATTATAAGCATTTTTCAACAATCACAAATCAACAAATTTAATCCACAAACTTCCCTTGCCTCCAATCGATCAACCGAGAAGACATGAGGAAGAAGGATGTGATCCCATACATCTTCGACTTTGAGATTCCTACCTTGGGAGTTTGAACCTCCAACTTAGTCAAGCAGATCAGTTGTAGGAAGGAAAAAAATGATTTTCAGTAGGGA